TGTTCTACGAAATAAATGTAGTGCCCATAACATGTACCCATGACTGTCATATGTGTATATATATATATATATATATATATATATATATATATATATATATACACATTTAAGACACTTTAGCTTTCCTTGTTTTCCAGCCACTTTTGTTGATATTAGCCTTTTCCCATATTTTTCTCCGCCTCAAGCTTATGGCTTTACGATCAACTGTAAGCACTTCAGTGCAAACACACGGAACCAGTTATATCTGATATATTATATCTGACAAAATTGTTTATATATAAACGTTTTTTTTAATAAAGCATTTCAAACGTCACTATAATTGCATTTAATGGATTTTAATGCCAATTAAGGCCTTTTAAAAAAATATATATTTTTAATAACCTGTGGAAACCCTGCTTTATATTATGATCAAACATTTAAAGGGTGAAATCTAATTTTCTTTTGTGCAGAACTGTGTTTTAATTTACCAAATGTACTTGAACTAGTTAATTTACACGTTTGTGAACTGTGTTCATTTGATTAAAAAGTGAACTATGAACGTGAACTAGCTCTTTTTCATCTGTGTGAACTGGACTTTAAGCTTTTTCTTTTTATTTATGTAATGGCACAACATTGGTAGTTATGTAGAACCTTTTTCATACAGAGATGGCATGGAGCTACATCATGGCTGACCTGGGGGACTTTCCAAACTTAAGAGTTCTGTTGGCCGGAGTGTTTAGTTTTGGTCTTGTCTGATCAGAACAGTCTTCAAACAGTTAAGTTGTGTCTCCTGCATAACATTTCTATAAAGGCTATAAGACTAACAGCTGTCCTGCAGACACATTGTCATTCTAGGTGGACGTTCATGCCTTGGTTGGTGTGTAGGTGGTCCATCCTCTCACCATGCTCAGGTGATGGGGAGACGTTCAAAGCTTGAGGGTTTATTTCAGATGATGACAGATGGCAAAACTATTTAGATTAAAATGTGATTTATAGAGAATATGTCTGCTGTTAGGATAATAATCATTCATCATGTGTGAAGTTTATTACACCTTAATATTTGCTGCCTGTTGCATGTCAGAATTGATGTTTTCCACAATAGTTTATCTAATTAAAACAGTTCTTCTGTCTGGATATAGAGTTATAATCTTCATTCTGTACTTGAAAAAGATTTGGGAATGAAATGACAGCGGTGTCCTTAAAGGGATAGTTCGGGATTTTTGACATGAATCTGTATGGCATCCCCATCACCAGTGTCATGCAATCACACTGA